AAAAAAAAAAAAAAAAAAAAAAAAAAAAAAAGGCATTCAAATCTGATCCTAATAATTTGACAATTTATGAAACAAGTCATATTTTGCTAAATGCATAAATGTCTACTTTTTAAAAAATACTTTTTCTGTCCTTAAAAGCTATAGGTTCACTTCAGGGTCATAAATGCTTGTGTTTTTCTTTCCTCACTTGCAGAATCTAACTCAAGTTACATTTTAATTCTTTAGGAAAAAGAGCCTTTCAGAAATCATCACATTCAGCTCTGACCAGGTATGTATAATCAGTAAAGACTCTTACCATCTGTTTCTAGGCAGTGGAGAACACACAGGAAGCACGGCACACAGTGTGTCCCAGATTTCAAAATGGAGGAGAAAAGAGAGCATTATTCTTTTGTTGGTTTTTTCTTATAAATTTAAGGTTAACTATAATTAGCTAAAATGTATTGGCTTGTCAAAATCTAGGAACAATAATCAATTACTCATCTTTGGTTTGATAATTTTCCTAAAAGCCAAATCAAAGGTGAACTGAGTTCTAAAACCACAGACACCAGGCCAGGCACAGGGCTCATGCCTGTAATCCCAGCACTTTAGGAGGCCAAAGCAGATGGATCACCTGAGGTCAGGAGTTCAAGACCAACCTGGCTAACATGGTAAAACCCCATCTCTACTAAAAATACAGAATTAGCAAGGTGTGGTGATGCATGCCTATAATTCCAACTACTCAGGAGGCTGAGGCAGGAAAATTGCTTGAACCTGGGAGGCAGAGGTTGCAATGAGCTGAGATCACACCATTGCACTCCAGCCTGGAAGACAGAGTGAGATTCTATCTCAAAAAAAAAAGAACAAAACACAGATATCAAACTTCTAATAGATAATAATGAGCTTTAATAGGTGACTGGCTTATCTCTGCTTTCATCAAATGCCTGAAGACAGGGAGACTAGCAGCATTAGGAACCAAATATTGATGGCTGTCCCATACACTGGGTAGGTTTTCATTCATCGATACAGCTGTACCTTTCATCCTTTCCTCTTAATTTCCCAACTTATTTAAGCCTAAGGACAAAGGACAACTATTTTATGGCATGTCAATTATATCTCAATAAAGTTCTTTATGCTGGACCATTTTATTGGATGGCGGCTGACCATTCAGGCTGCTGAATTTATTTTGCGATGGTGAAAAGGCAAATTCAAAGGTGTTGGTCACAGGTGCCTGTAACCCTGAGCCATGTAAGTCATACCTGGAACATCTGAGAAGACCTGAGAACAGACATCCAGGCTAGGACAAAAGTTTGAATAGCAAATGATTCATAGGAAAATGAAAAGCCTCTAATTTTAAATCAGGTGAAGCTTACAAAGCAAAGTAAAACTAGAGACTGGTTTTCCTACAAAGAGAGTTTTTAAAAAATTCAAGCTGGCACACTGTGCACGAGAGGCAGTGGGAAGAAATCTCTCCCTTCTCTCTCCATCTCTCCATCTCTCATAACTCACATGAGCTTTTAGATACTGCTGGCTCCTCTTACTCATGAAACCAAGGTTCCTATAGAGCCCATATAGCTGAAAAGCAGTAAAGGAAAGCCCTTCTACACCGGAAAATCCTTGGCAGCAATTGGTGAAGTTGTTTCAAACTCTACAGCCTAATTATCCTTTACCAGGCCCTGAGGAAGGCTCTGTTCTGATCCCACAGTGGTCACCAGCTGCCCCCACACAAGAGTCTCCTCATTCTGCTCATAAGCCCATTTCTTCAGATCATTAATTATCTCTGAGCTCTAATAAAATGCATGCTTAGGCAGTCAGAACACTGAAGACCAAGAGAACACACACACGGGATTGCAGGTTGAGTCTCTGTTCTAGCTTTTTACCCAGGCATATTTAATCTAGGTATACTGTGTCACTTTTGATGTACAGGTGATAAAGTATTCAAAGGATCTGATTTACAGAACAAATGATATGCTCATAACCTGTAAAGCCCAACAGTAAAACACACAGCGAAATCTCAAACTAGTACAACAAAACACCCTTGCTTAGTCAGTACTAAGTCCTATTAGAGAAAAACATGGGTCCTTTGCCCTAGTATTAGACTTGCATCCTTACAAAATTACCATTTGCAAAAATAACCATTTTAAAAAATTCTTGCAATTAAAGAAATATTTTAAATGTAAGTAGAAGCTGTTTTGGAAGGATGCTAAGAGAAAGCTATTACATTAACCCTAATCATTGAGCATGATTTATCAAAAAGTAGGGGAGGGATGAGGGCAAGGGAGCTGTGGCAATGCAAACTGAGGTAGGTGTACTTCCCCTGGTCCTGTGATGTCACTGCTCTTCAACCAGAGCACCTCTGTGCTCTTAAAGAGGAGACAATGCTGGCTGGGCGCAGTGACTCACGCCTGTAATCCCAGCACTTTGGGAGGCTAAGGCAGGTGGTGAAACCCCATCTCTACTAAAAAAATATTTTAAAATTAGCTGGGTGTGGTGGCATGTGCCTATAATCCCAGCTATTCTGGAGTCTGACATAGGGAGAATCACTTGAACCCGGGAGGTGGAGGTTACAGTGAGCCGAGATCGTGCCATTGCACTCCACCCAGCCTGGGCAACAGGAGGAAATTTTCATCTCAAAAAAAAACAACGACGACAACAAAAAACACCAAGACTAAACAATAAGATAGTGGGGGAACAAACAGAAATGAACCCAAGATCTGGGAAAGAAAACATTTTTAGCTGCTTTAGTATCTGCAACAAGAGAAAGTCAAAACCTAGTCGTTCATTTTCAACTTTACAGTACTCACTCAGCAATAAATATTTCTCAGAAGACAAAAGAATCTGCACTGGAGAACATACTCTTGGAAAGAGAATGTGGTGTGAGCCCTGTAGGCTGGAAAAAATCTGCTGAAACTCAGAAGTTTGAGAAACTCTTCAGAACCTATACTGACATAGCACAAGGGCAAGTGCCTAGCATAATACAACCACAAATTGAAATTCCCTATGAAAACAAAATGCAAAGACTGAGGGACATAATACTATCTACCCACGTTTTATATATGTTTAATTTCTCAAAGCATCAAAATCTTATCTTTACCTGTAAGTTCAACTCTTACCCTAATAACAGACTGCTGTAAAACTGAGAAAATGCAAACCAGAATTTTATAAAGGTTAAGCCACTTCTACAATCCATCTCAGCAAAGTGACTGTTCTGTTTTTTATTGACATTGGGAATATAAAGGGATACTTATCTGAAACCAGAACAGGGCACAAAGAAATCTCTGAATGAAAATCAGAGACTGCTAGGATGAGTGTGGTGGCTCACACCTATACTCTATACTCCCAGTACTTTGAGAAGCTGAGGTGGGCAGATCATCTGAGGTCAGGAGTTCAACACCAACCTGACCAACATGGTAAAACCCAGTCTCTACTAAAAATAAAACTTAAAAAAAAAATAGGCATGGTGGTGGGTACCTGTAATTCCAGCTACTTGGGAGGCTGAGGCAGGGACATCACTTGAACCCAGGAGGCAGAGGCTGCAACAAGTCAAGACTGCACCATTGCACTCCAGCCTGGGCAACAAGAGCGAAACTTCTTTCTCAAAAATCAGAGATTGCTAAGCTTTAAATTGATCCACAAATAGAATGTACAGGATCATCATGTACTGGTGAAAATCCTGTAATAAAACTTCTGAGTTTCAGTGATCAGAGGTACATGACAGGCCTTATGAATATGGCAACAGGTAGCAAAGGTTGACTATACCTTTAAAACCTTCTACAGCAAAAAGCAGAGCATAACCTCTATTAAGCACTGTTCAGCAGAAAGAAACCTCAAAGACCACTGACCTGGTCCTCCTCTTCATCCTCATCCTCTGCCAGACGCTGCCTGCCCACTTCATACAGCCTGCATACTGTGTCCATGTTCAGGGCATCCATGCTGCCTTGATTCTGGAATAGAACACCCAGTGCACAAAGAGCAGTTAGTTTTCAGAAGGCCCACATCCACACCTCAGCCCTGACTAGTGTCCATGACCCTGGACCACTAATTATCAAAGCTTCTGATACCCCAAATTCTTGAGCTGACTCTGAAAATGTTATACCTAAGACACAAAAGGAAAGAAAAACAGAATGAAAAGACTCAAGCAGTGAGGGATCAGCACCCTTGGAATAAACCAGTCTTGCTCTAGTGAGAAATCCAGATTCCTCTGAGAAAGGGATGACACCATGAGTGCAGAAAAAATGGAGAGAGGACACTCTAAGCTGTGTTATATTGTGATTTTCTTATTCTCTTTATACAGTACATCTCCCAAGACCAATCAAATGAATAGGTTATTAATAATCTACCTTCAGGAATGTATTGACTTTACATCTTATATCAGACAAAATGTCTGTAGTACAACTTAAAAATTATCCTAAACATCAGAACAACAGAGCAGGGCCTCTGCAAGCTCCCTTTACCTCAATGACAGCAAGATAGCAGTCTTTGGTGTCTGTACAGAGGTCAAAGATGTTCCGTTTTACATCAATGGTTGCTAGAAAATAGAATGTGAGAAGGTTTGGGATTAGATTAGTACTGTGATCTTAAAACCTACTTTTCTGAGTCATGGCATCAAAAAAAAAAAAAAAAAACCTGCTTTTCCTCTAAAGGAATTCAGGATGATTGCTCAAAATTATTTCCATAACTCCTCCGTTTTTCAATAGAAAAGTACAGGCCTCCCAGAAAATGAAGCCTCGTAAATAAGAAACACCAAAACATGACAAAATGATCAATGTCTGTCCCTTCCTGCTTACCTATAGGTTTGTAGTCAGTTGCATTAAATGTTCGGAAAGATGACCCAAAGGGGCTTTTCATCCTCTCTTCCATTAAGTCATCTTCATCATCTGCCTGCAACATAGCTTGAGGGGGGAGAGGAGGAGAAAGCACTATTAAGAATCATAAACATCCCCTCTTCAGAAATGCAGAAAATGTTAATGGCCAATAAAGACAATCTACTTGTATATAGGTTTACATACAAATTCCCTTGTACATAAATCTACTCTGCATCTAGTTAGCTCCTCTCAGAGCATCTTCCTTGCATATCCCATCTATTATTACAAATATCCTCAGCTTCTCATCTACCTCCAAGAAGTGTTACAGTACTTACAAGGCTTACAACACCACAAGAGGACAAGTGCACAGGTCTTAAGTTCGTAATGTGATACACTGGAAAATACTGCATGAAGTTTCTTTCCATACAAGATTTCCTTATTATCTTCAAAGTCAGTTGCCTTTCGCCCTAAATCAACCTTATTTTCATCTCCTTTGTCACAATTTGTACTATAAATTTTTTATCTTTTATGTTACAACTTTCAAATGCTTTCCAATTCACAAGTGAGAGATGGTTCCAAAAAGGAAGTATTAAATTAAGTGAAGGGGTAGAGGAGAGGGAAAGAGAATGAAGGATAAGGTTTATTACCTCCATACATCACTGTTCCTGTGTGATTGAACACCACGCGACACTGATCCAGAGCAGGAACAGTATGCAAAAGATGAAAAGTTCGAAGGTCCCACTAGAAGTGGAATGGTCAAGGAAAACTGTTTTACACAAAACTTATCTCATGGAAGGAAATTTTAAAATATCACTTTTTTCCCTCTGCCAGGTATAGTCAATGAGATCGGCTGGGCGCGATGGCTCACGCCTATAATCCTAGCACTTTGGGAGGTCAAGGTGGGTGGATCACCTGAGGTCAAGAGTTCAAGACCAGCCTGGCCATCATGGTGAAACCCTATCTTAAAAAAAAAAAAAGAAAAAAAAAAAAAAGTCAATGAGATTAAGGTGAAACAAATACATGTAGAATGCGTATTACTGAATGTCTCTGAAAATACCCTAGGGTATCCTCATATACATGAAGGCTTTATGAGCTCTTTTCCTCCCAACAGTAGTATTTCATTTTCCTCTTATGTGGCAACTGATTTATTTATTATTTATTTATTTATTTATTTATTTATTTTGAGACAGAGTCTTGCTCTGTCACCCAGGCTATAGTGCAGTGGCACGACCTCGGCTCATGGCATCCTCCGCCGCCCAGGTTCACACGATTCCCCTACCTCAGCCTCCTGAGTAGCTGGGACTACAGGTGCCAGCCACCACGCCCAGCTAATTATTTTGTATTTTAGTAGCGACAGGGTTTCACCATGTTGGCCAGAGTGGTCTCGATTTCCTGACCTCGTGATCTGCCTGCCTTGGCCTCTCAAAGTGTTAGGATAACAGGCGCGAGCCACCATGCCCAGCAGGCAACTGATTTTTATAGAGCAAAAGTAAAATCCTTCTGAAGACAGATAAAAGCTAATTCAATTGGAGAATTGGGAAGTAGAAAACTGGTCACTCTTATCAAATACATAGAAAACATGCTACTGAAAGTTGTAAGTAGTTACTAACTTTGGCAACAGTGCTTTGGAGATTTCACTAACATTTCAAACCAAAGGACAGGTACCATATTATTACCAGTGTGGATACTTAAACCAGGTATTGGTGGAGAGATAAAACAAATTATTCCTGCACAACCAACCAGACAAGAAGGTAAGACACGAGTGTAAAGGATACAATCTCAGTATTAATGATCACCTCCAGCCCATTCGGATGGAAAACACCACTGATGTTCATATTAAACTTGTCAAATTTGTGGATGGCCTGTGCAGAGCGGACATCCCAGAGGACGCCATCATTTAAGACAAGATCATCTGTAGGATTAAAGGTGGCACAGTTCCTCTTGTAGTTGTTGGCAAGATCTGGGTTAAACAGAGTCAACAGCTTGTTGCCAGTCTGAATATCATAAATCTTTAGAGAAGAAGGGGTAGGAAGAGAAAAATCAGACCAATCCATCCATTGACAAATTTAGAGAGAAAATGTGCAAAGTAGTTTCTAAGATTAACACAGAAATTCTCCATATGGATCAATGATTACCACCGAATACTCCTGAAGGGTTACTTTTCGGAGAAAGGCATCAATGAAACATCCTTTTCTCCTTAAAAATCTCCCAATGTACATATTTTAGCCCCGCCATATTAAAAGTTTCCAAAGTCTATATAATGTACAATCCATGCAGAGACCAGATCTTTCTCATCAGCTTATAGACAGGCATGCTGTAATATTTCCAATCTTTAAAAAAAAAAAAAATTCTTCGTTAATACAGGAACAAATAAGGAGACACCACGAGGAAACAATCAAACAAATCCAGATCATGAGAAAAGAAAACTGTCCTGGTCTCTTCAAAAGTCACTGTCATGAAAACTGGAAAAATGGTTCTTGGCTTTAAAACACTAGTAAGTCCTAACAACCAAATGTAATATGTGAATCTTGGCTGGATCCTGGTTGATTAAAAAACTGAAACCAAACACATCAGGAATAATTGAGAAAACTGAGTGAGTATGGACGGGATATTAGATGATTATTTAGGGGATTACAAATTTTCTTAGATTTAATAACAGTGTGATTGTGAAATAAATGTCATTGTTAGGAGACACATGCTGTAAGACAGCCGTAAAATGTCATGATGCTTGCAATTTTCAAATGGTTCAGAAAAACACATTTACATAAAAAATATGGCAAAATACCAAATTGATAAATCTAGGTAGTAGGTATATGAACTATTCTTTTCATTTCTTTGTATATTTGAACATTTTCAAATGAAAAGTTGAGGGGGAAAATCTCCCCCCAACACACTTTTTCTTTTTCCTTCCAGACCTATGTGAAGTTATTTACTGATAGGTTTAATCATTTATTGTAACAGGGAGAGCCTTATACCTTAATTACATTTGGTAATAGGAAAAAGTATTGACTGAGCCTGAATTCCTGTTGTGGAAGTAGAGATTGCAAGGTACCTTCTTTATTACTTGACCTTGTTGACTTTTTTATTTAAGTTCCAGGATACATGTGCAGAATGTGCACATTTGTTGCACAGGTATACATGTGCCATGGTGGTTTGCTGCATCTATCAACTCGTCATCTAGGTTTTAAGCCCCGCCTGCATTAGGTATTTGTCCTAATGCTCTCCTCCCCTAGCCCGCCACCCCCAAACTGGTCCCAGTGTGTGATGTTCCCCTCCCTGTGTCCATGTGTTCTCATTGTTCAACTCCCACTTATGAGTGAGAACATGTGGTGTTTGGTTTTCTGTTTCTGTGTTAGTTTGCTGAGGATGACATCTTCTAGCTTTATCCATGTCCCTGCAAAGGACATGACCTCATTCCTTTTTATGACTGCATAGTATTCCATGGTTTATATGTACCACATTTTCTTTATCTAGTCTATCATTGATAAGCATTTGGGTTGGTTCCATGTCTTTGCTATTGTAAATAGTGCTGCAGTAAACATACATATGCATGTGTCTTTAAAGTAGAATGATTTATATTCCTTTGGGTATATACCAGTAATGGGATTGCTGGGTCAAATGGTATTTCTGGTTCTAGATCCTTGAGTAATCACCGTACTGTCTTCCATAATGGTTGAACTAATTTACATTCCCATCAACAGTATAAAAACATTCCTATTTCTCCACAGCCTTACCAGCATCTATTGTTTCTTGACTTTTTAATAATTGCCATTCTGACTGTTATGAGATAGTATCTCATTGCGGTGGTTTTTTGTTTTTGTTTTTTGAGACAGTCTCACTCTGTCACCCAGTATGGAGTGCAGCGAGTGGCATGATCTCAGCTCACTGCAACCTCCACCTCCTGGGTTCAAGTGATTCTCCTGCCTCAGCCTCCTGAGTAGCTGGGACTACAGGCCCACGGCACCATGCTCAGCTAATTTTTTTGTTTTTAGTAAAGATGGGGTTTCACCATGTCGGCCAGGCTTGTCTCGAACTCCTGACCTCAGGTGATCCGCCTGCCTCGACCTCCCAAAGTGCTGGGATTACAGGCATGAGCCACTGCTCCCCACCCTCATTTGCATTTCTCTAATCATCAGTGATGTTGAGCTTTTTTTCATATGTTTTTTGGCCACATAAATGTCTTTTTGAGAATTGTCTGTTCATATCCTTTCCCCATTTTTTGATGGAGTTGTTTTTTTCTTGTAAATTTGTTTAAGACTGTGGATATTAGACTTTTGTCAGATGGACAGATTGCAAAAATTTTCTCCCATTCTGCAGGCTGCCTGTTCACTCTCATGATAGTTTCTTTTGCTGTGCAGAAACTCTTTAGTTTAATTAAATCCCAGTTGTCAATTTTGGCTTTTGTTGCAATTGCTTTCGGTGTTCTCATCATGAAGTTTTTGCCCATGTCTATGTCCTAAATGGTATTGCCCAGGTTTTCTTCTAGGGTTTTTATGGTTTTGGGTTTTACATTTAAGTCTTTAATCTGTCTTGAGTTAATTTTTACATAAGGTATAAGGAAGGCGTCCAGTTTGTTTTCTGCATATGGCTAGCCAGTTTTCCCAACACCATTTATTAAAAAGGGAATCCTTTCCCCATTGCTTACGTTTGTCTGGTTGTCAAAGAGGAAACCTGCCCTTTACCACTTCATATCCCTCCCTCAAGCTAGTACCCTACTTTTCTGCTTCATTTTTCAGTAAAACAGTTCAAAAAAATTATCCATATTGTGTGTCCATTTCTCCCTTGTTCTCATGAACCAATTCTAACAAGGTTATTGCCCCACCAGTGTACAGAGTTTTTGTTGTTGTTTTTGAGTCCGGGTCTCTCTCTCTCTCTCTCCCTCTCTCTCTCTGTCACCCAGGCTGCAGTGCAATGCTATGAACAGTTAACCACAGCCTCAACCTCCTGGGCTCAAAGTGATCCTCCCACCTCAGCCTCCCAAGTACCTAAGACTACAGGTTCGCATCATAGCACCCAGCTAATTTTCTTTTTTTGTAGAGGCAGGGGTCTCACTCTGTTGCCCAGGCTGGTCTCAGACTCTCACCTCAACCTCCGAACTATTTCTTGACATGATTAACACATTGTTCAATCAAAGATCACCTCTCAGTTCTCAGCTTATACAACTCATTAGCAGTTTCTGATCCAGCTGATCAAACCTTCCTTGAAGCACAGTCTTCCCTTGGCTCTTAGGACACTTTTTTTTTGAGACACAGTCTTGCTCTGTTGCCCAAGCTGGAGGGCAGTGGTGTGATCTCAGCTCACTGCAACCTCCACCTCCCAAGTTCAAGTGATTCTTCTGCCTCAGCCTCCTGAGTAGCTGGGACTACAGGCACATGTCACCACGCCCAGCTGATTTTTGTATTTTTAGTAGAGACAGGGTTTCACCATAATGGCCAGGAGAGTCTCAAATTCCTGACCTTGTGATCCACCTGCCTCAGCCTCCCAAAGAGCTGGGATTACAGACGTGAGTCACCGTGTCCAGCCAGCACTGTCTCCTCTTTAAGAGCACAGAGGTGCTCTGGATGAAGAGCAGTGGCATCACAGGACCTGGGGAAGTACACTTACCTCAGTTCGCATTGCCACAGCTCTCTTGCCCGCATCCTTCCCCTACTTTTTGATAAATCATGCTCAATGATTAGGGCTAATGTAATAGCTTTCTCTTAGCGTCCTTCCAAAACAGCTTATACTCACAAAGTGCTGGGATTACAAGCGTGAGCCACCACACTCCCAGCTGGGCACCTCTTTCTCTCAGGGTTCCATTCTGCCTTACTGGTCACTATATTTGATTTCCTTCCCAAGTTCCTCATCTGGCAACTCCTAAATACTGGCACATGCCAGGGTTCTATGACTCACAACTCTTCTCTAGTCTCCTTGATGATCTCAGATAAGTTTGTGGCTCTAAATACAATCAGCTGGGGACAGTAACTCATGCCTGTAATCCCAACACTTTGGGAGACCAAGGAAGGTGGATCACTTGAATTCAGGAGTTCAAGACCAGCCTGGGCAACGTGGGAAGACCCTGTCTCTACAAAAATACAAAAAAAAATAGCCATGTGTGATGGTGCACACCTGTAGTCCCAGCTACTCAGGAGGCTGAGCTAAGAGGATTGCTTGAGTCCAGGCAGTCAAGGCTGTGGTGAGCTGTGATCCTGCCACTGCACTGCAGCCTGGGCAACAGAGCAAGACTCGTCTCAAAAATAAATAAATAAATACTATCAATATGTGAATAAGTCTCACATTTATATTTCTCAACCCACACCTCTCTTCTGAACTCCCAATTTTTTGTTGTTTTTGTTTTCAGAGACAGGGTCTCACTCACTTGCTCAGGCTGGAGTACAGTGACATAATCACAGCTCACAGCAGCCTTCAACTCATGGGCTCAAGTACCCCTCCCACCTCAGCTTCCTGAGTAGCTGGGACCAAAGGCATGTGCCACCAAGCCCAGCCAATTTTATTTTGTGCAGAGATGAGGAAAGTCTCTCTACGTTGCCCAGGCTGGTCGAACTCCTGGCCTCAAGTGATCCTCCCACCTCAGCCTCCCAAAGCGCTGAGATTACAGGCACAAGCCACTACACCCGCAACTCCCAACTTTTGTATTCAATCCCTATTCTCTACTTGAATGTCTAACAGAATGTCAAACTTCATGTGTCCAAAATCCCTGAGCCAAGGCCCCTTCTTTCTCCCAGCCTCTACCAGGCCTACCCAGGCCCAAACCCATAGTTCCTCTCATGTGTCAGGTGGTACATCACCCTCTCCAACCTGGAAGGCTGCTCTTGCTTCTCTCACAAAAACCTTAGTCATACTTTAAGAACTTTACATCCACGCATGTATCCTCTACTCACCCTCCAGTGTCTTCATTTCACTCAAAAGAAAAGCTGAAGGCCCTAACTACCACCTGCAAGATGTTACTGGATATGGGCCCCTCACTGACCTCAGCTCTTACCCTCCTCTCCTCCCACCTCCCAAGCGAGGGCTTTTCCCTTGCCATTTCCTGTGCCTTGCACTGTTCCTCCAGGTATCTTCCTGAACCTCACATTTCCTTCAAGGCTCTGCTTAAACACTACCCCATCAGTGATGCTGTCTACCCCAGATAAAAGAGAAGTCTCCCCACACCACCAACAAGCATTTCTTACCTCTTACCCTGCTTTCATTTTCTCTGCAATACTTACCACCTAAATTTACCATATATTTGATTCTTTATTGTCTCCCCAGTGAGGGTCCATAAAGGCAGGACTTCATTTCTAATCTAAAACTAAGAATTAAAAAATATCTGCAGTGCTAATGACATCCTTCTCAATGTCACATTTAGCCCTTATACATTTTTCCCATACAGCTCAGAACTATGTTATCATACTTTGAGATTGTAACTGAAAGGAATATCATTGAGTAACTTTTATTTGCCCAAAGAACTTAGGTCCCCACATTCTACCAAGAAGATTTCAGTATGAACAAACAGGCATAATCAGCTTGAAAACAGTGGTTCTTAAGTACTTACGTGGGCGATGTCGCCTTTTGTGCCGATGACTCGATCCTGGGAGTGCTTGCTGAACTCAACATAGTGATCTTCTGTGAAGGAATGCCTATGGACAAACAACAGGAGCACTGAAGTGACAGACATTGAGGACATATTCCTGCAACCAACTGAAATATGGGTGACCCCCAGACTCTTGCACAATCACACTCACCTAAAGATCCTGGACTCCCAAAGAGGAAATAATCATACACTTAGATTAAAAAGAAAATTCCTTCTATCAGTTTGTCCAAGCAGACAAAATAAAATGAATGGGAATTCCTTACAGAAATGACAAATAGCGCACATGTGTCTTTGAAACATGAAGCAAAGGGGCCGGCATGGTAGCTTACTCCTATAATCCCAGCATTTTGGGAGGCTGAGGCAAGTGGGTCACCTGAGCTCAAGAGTTCGAGACCACCCTGGGCAACATGTTGAAACCCTATCTCTACCAAAAATGCAAAACATTAGCCAGGTGTGGCAGCACACGCCTGTGGCCCCAGCTATTCAGCAGGCTGAGGTGGAAGAATCACTTAAGCCTGGGAGGCAGAGGTTGCAGTGGGTCATGCTTGTGCCACTGCACTCCAACCTGACAAAGTGAGATGCCGTCTCAAAAAGAGAAAGAAAGAAGAGTGCAATGTCCTATGTGAACATGGGAAAATACATAAATTCTGGGTCAGGGTCTTCTGCATAATAATGTACATACCTCATAAAAATACCTAGGAATTAAGAAAGATAACATCTTATTATTAAACATGAGTCTCAGATGAGGAAGAGAGAAGTTAACAATAACTGACAGCATTCCTCTTTCCTCAAAAGGCTTCCAGTCTAAGAACCAAATGAAGGGGATATTTAACTAGGCAAATAAAGCACAGATTAGGATCCAAAAGCAGATACATACTTCATATCAAATACTGATTTCATTCCCCAAAGTGCAGACAAAGGCTGGCTCCAAGTAGCAGACGTCAGCAGCAGGGACCCATCCTAAAAGAAAAAGGTCCAAGGTGGGTAACCATGCATGTACATGCATGTAGATATCACTACCTATCATTAGCATTTTTAAATATATGCATAAAAATGTTGTTGAATTAAAGAGAAAATTTTAAAACCCCCAGAAACCAAGAAATGGTCAGAAGCCACTAGGATTTGAATGTATATAACTATAATGTCCTAGAAAATAACTATAGAGAATGTTAAATTCTACTGAACTAACCACAAAAATAGAAAAGTTAAAAAGGAGGGGGGAAAAATGAGAAGATGCCAAAGATGGTTCCTTTCTTCCTAATAACTCTGCCATATTCCTCAGTCTCCATCTGAAATATGAGCCAACCTCAACTAGACTTTCTAGTTGATGACTCATTTAAAACAGAGAGCTCAATAAAGAGTAAGTCTCCTTTACTCTAGTTCATCAATTTATCTTAGAAGAATGACTGAGAGCATCCTAGGAAGGAACCCTTACCCTGGAAGGTTCAAGATGTGTAATGGCTGAGTTGTGACAGTTATAGCTGGCCTCCTCCTGTCCACTAAACACGTTATAGAGCTTCAGCTGCCCTGTGCAGGTGCCAAGCATCAGGAACCGCTCCCGTGCTGAGAATGCACAACAGGTGAAGCCACTCTCATCTTCATTGGCTTCCCGGAACACTGAAATAGGACGGAATCTAAGCAAAAAAAGACAGAATCAGAGGCAAAGAATATGCAGGGACTCAGAAAAAGCAAACTGCTGGGATGGAAGAAAAAGCACAGAGCAGTAATATTTCAAATGGGTTCTTCCAAAATCACAGTGACCTTCACTGCTTTTTATTTGAAATAAGAAAAAGATTTCCACTTACAAATTTAAATAACAAAAATTCCCATGTTTAGGCCAGATGCAGTGGCTCACGCCTGTAATCCCAGCACTTTAGGAGGCTGAGGTGAGCGGTAGTCAGGAATTCAAGACCAGCCTGGCCAACATGGTAAAACTCCATCTCTACTAAAAATACAAAAATTAGCTAGATGTGGTGGTGCCTGCCTGTAATCGCAGCTACTCAGGAGGCTGAGGCAGGAGAATCGCTTGAACCTGGGAGGCAGAGGTTTAAGTGAGCCAAGACTGCACCACTGTACTCCATCCTAGGCAACAGAGAGAGACTCCATCTCAAAAACAAGAAAAAAATTCCCATGTTTAAAACCTGAGATCCCATAACCTTTACTCCAGCCTAGGCAACAGAGAGAGACTCCGTCTTGAAAAGAAGAAAAAAATTCCCGTGTTTAAAACCTGACATCCCATAACCTTTATGTAAGATTTGTCAAGAATCAGAACAGGAAGCAATTTGTACCAGCACAAGTTTGGAAGCTTCCTTATGGACAGTAATTTCTACATTCTAGAAAATATACTAGTTGAGAAAGTATATTGATACACAGGATTGTATCAATATACTGCCAATGAGCACATAAGGAACCCATGGTCGATAAAGGGTGATACAACTACATTGTTCCTGTATTATATACAAAGTGACAATCAGTGGTATTTCAGGCCAACTATGCTGATAGGGCCCAAACAGTTTGATTTACATAAAAGAATCATTCCAATTCCCAGGGAGTAAGAAGGGGCCTCTTCTTACCTGCTAAAGATAAGGTGCCTATCAAAGCATCCACCATCCACCCCTCCATACTTTGGAAACGATGCCCTGCGGTTTAGCCTTGAGGTAAAGTTTATTGGCGCTTGCCGCCTCTGTTTTGGCTCAGGACATTGGTGAGGAGTAAAGAGAGAGAAAGGTGGGCAGGTAGCAACTGGATTCTTGCAGCGAGCATGTTGTTCTCTAAGATATTCTGTGATTATACTGTCCAGCTTAGGTGGGGAAGGAAGATGTCTGTCCAGCTGCTTTTTTATGGCTGGGCTTTGGCCGTAGGCACCATGGTCCGACTTCTGCCGCAACACTCTGATTTTCCTGCCATTGCAGGGTGATGGCCTCTCTCTGATAAAACTGATCCTACCAATCAAAGGGGAGTTGCCTGCATAAGATGGGCCAGGCAGAGCTAGTGGACCCTGGGGGGGCCGTGACTGAGGATGGGCAGTGGGGGCAGAAGGGGCAGAGGGACCCACAGCAGCATGGGTACCTAGTCGAGTTGCAATGCCATTAGCGATACGAGGGGTTCGGGGAAGAGAGACAGGAGAAGCAGCAGCAGTGACTGGGGTAAAGGCAGAAGAATGGGAGGCAGCAGTCATGGGCAGGTCAGCCTCTTTTGTTAGCACAGTTGCTGTTTCTCCAAGCCCTTTAGAAATAAGATGGTTTCGTATCAACAAAAGCAGCTCTTTCTCAGGGAAGGAGATCCTTGACTGGGCAACAACATCTGCTTTCTGCAGTCGTGCTAGAGAAACATCAGTGCCAATCAGCAGTGGTTTTCCTGACACCCGTTCAATGAGTTCAGCAGCATACTTGCAGAACTTGACATGGTCACTACGCTTGTCCTGCAGCACAGGCTCCTTCATCAGCTGCTGGATCTGGCAGCTGCTGAAAAGCGGCAGTTTACTGATGATCTGCCGGACAGTGCTACTGCGAGACAGGCCCACCAGGGCCTTGCAGGCCAGGGCCCGGATCTGGTCTGCATCTGTGATGGGCATCTTAATGGACAATAAGGACAGAAGCACCTTGATGCCATTGTTGGACTGAACCACGTTCCACATCTTGGCCAGGGTGTGCTCACTGTTTTTGGGGTTCTGAGGCAGCTTTCTCCGAGGAGTACCAGAGATAAATTTGCCAATACTGGATATTCGGTTATCCGGGCCACACACACAATTGATGATAATCTGAAGTGCTGACTTCTGAATTTCAGCATCATGGATGAAGAACTCACCCTCAGCCACTCCCAAAATAATGCTGATACCTAATGGGGAAAAAAATTATGTATCACTCATCATAAAACTAATAGCCAACTTCAATAGTTGCTCCAGAGTCAAAATTTGATGTTCCACTTTGTTTTACTTTAAAAAAACTGTTACTTTTGTAAAAACTGCAAGGAATTGTTTAAAGTACAATTAGTTCTACTGTAATGTATTTTTATGACATAATATCTCATATGCAGTTATTAAATAGGAAAATGATATAATAATTATGGAAAAGTCATCAAGCTTCATGTGCAATTTTTTCTGGTTTATTATTTATTTATTTATTTATTTTGAGGCAGAGTCTCACTCTGTCACCCAGGCTGGAGTGCCGTGGAGTGATCTTGGCTCACTGCAACCTCCACCTCCCAGGTTCCAGTGAATCTCTTGCCTCAGCCTCCTGAGTAGCTGGGATTACAGGCAACCGCCACCATGCCTGGCTAATTTTTGTGTTTTTCGTAGAGACAGGGTTTTGCCATGTTGGCCAGGCTGGTCTCAAACTCCTGACCTCAGGTGATCAGTCCGCCTTGGTCCCACAAAGTGCTGGGATTACAGACAAGAGCCACTGCACCTGGCCTTTCTGGTTGATTAATTTTAATTTTAATAAACTAAAACCTTAGGAAAGGAGAAAGCCCTCAGTTGGGCTGCTACTGTGGAAGCAGAACCCTTTCCACTGTATTTTAATAAAATTAAAAACAAATGCCTGCGTCTTAGTTCTATTCTGCATCTTGTCTCCAGTCACATGACTTCCCATGCTCACCCCAGCAGTGCCCTCATCAGCCTTGCTCTTAATAAAGCATATTATCAAAGTATATTTTCCTTTTTTTTTTTAATGTATGATTGTTTCTACCCATTTTGAGCTACCTGCCAATTACTGATTCAGGTTACAAAATTGCTTACTTTGTTATTTTCTCCCTTTTATTCCTGGAAAGCTATAAGTTTTTTACTATCTGCTTCAACTCATTTTTCCCACATATTTTTAGTGCAAAACTGTTCAGACTGTAAGCTTTCAGGAAAGCTATAATGTACCAGTATAGCAGAAATGCCAGTACTACTCAGAAAACCCAAGTTTACCAACATGACTCTCTTACATGAATCTATGTGGTGCTACATTTGCAATTTTTTTAATTAGTTCATATTCTGCTGAATGGTACTCCTTACAAAGGACAATCAGTCCCCCTCTACTACTTTTTGTTCTAAAATCCCAAAATTAGGTCAGGCAAGTAACCATAACCAGAGTAAAAAAAAAAAAAAAAAAAAAAAAAAAAAAAAAAAAAAAAAAAAAAAAAAAAAAAAAAAAAATCCAGATCAAGAAACAACAAAAATGGCAAAGTACAACCTACCTACGGTAGAGACTGTAGATCCAGCCTCATCCAACACGTCCACTGACTCTGCTAACTGGAGCTGGATTTTTGGCACCACAGTAAGAATAGCCAGGACATCCAAAGCAAAGCGCACAGTATCATTCCTGGACAGGAAGAATAATTAGTCAAAGGGAAACTAGAATAAAGCCACAAGAAACAAGAGAAACAGAGAGAAACAGACAGACACACACACACACACACACACACACCCGCTACGAGTGTGACGTATCTCAAGCTGTGGCATCAAGAGAGGATTTTATAGTCACCATGACATTATTTCCAAAAAATAAGCAATGGAATTTTTACCTATCAAATTTCTAAGATAAAAACACATAGAATAATAATCCTTTCATCCTAGTGAAAATATACAGAGACACATTCTCTCAAAGTTTTGGTGAGAGCAGAAATCACCACATTCTTTCTGGAAAGTAATCTGGAGGTCAGGCACGGTGGCTCATGGCTATAATCCCAACACTTTAGGAAGCCAAGGTGGGAAGATCACTTGAGCCCAGGAGTTTGAGACCAGACTGGGCAACATGGTGAAGCCACGTCTCTACAAA